TCACGCCAGACAATTTACATTAAGACCATTTCCAACAATCTTACACAAATGGTAAACAAGTTGATATACTCATTATTCGCTCATTTTGTATTGACAATTATTATTATCGTTGGTTCTCATTAAGAAAACACCTGTTTCCTTGACAAAACATTACACATTGTATAACACCGCAAACAGTTATTGTCTATTTTTTAATATTTGCAGACTTAGTTTTATTGTATTGATTTTTAAAATCCCCTCGTTGTTTCTAAATGATACACAACAAGATAATCTTTAATCTTATCTCAGCGGATGCTAGGGAGAGTCTGGTTAATAAATATGAGCAATGACAATTATATAGTTAGTAACAATTAGAAAAATGTATAGATGCTTGTTGACGATAATAGTTTGCCGGAAGTTCGTATAATAGTCACATAAGTCGGTTTACTAAGGATTACGTCCTTAAACTATTTCCTCAAAATAAATATTATTTACTAAATGTTAAGTATACTTATGCTTTCTACCACACGTCTGCATCGTCTACTCAGTGTAGGTTCAAGCTTGATAATATTTCTTGTTATTACAAATAAAAGATAAACATAAATTTCTGAAATAACAACTAATAGTCCTAAAACATAAATATAAATTTAACCTAAAAACAGTAAAGATTTGATCTGTTAATGTGTATAATATTAGAGGTGTTCATGATGTAATTTGTATTATAATAAGTATTATTAGTAACCATCAACCAATCAAGATGTTTTTAATTTATTGTCAGTGGGTACATGCCATAATCCATTACCTACTTCATCACAATCATACGTACATTAATAACGAATAGTTAATTGCAAGACAATTGATTGGGAAATAATTTAAGTATGCGATAATATGAAGCTGGCCAATTGATAGTAAGATCGTTATTTTTTTTAAAATCAGCTATAAAATATCATGTGTTACTACACTAGTATATTGTAATAATTACTGTAGCCTGTAGGTATATACAGACTACAGTTAAAAAGTGAGATAGACACTGTAACGCGCAATATTGATTGTAATTAAATTGAAACGTCATCAAAAAAGTAAACATAAGGATACCAGTCTTGTAAATAGAAAAAAAATATACTGACCAAAGCAATAGCTTAAATTTAAATTTCTATTTTTAGTTTTTTGTTTTCTGCAATTAAAGTTCTACACAAAACAAAATATATATATTAGCTTCGATGCGTAGTTGAGAAGATTTGTTTTTATAGTGTCTAAACTCTAAGCTGCTGAACCGCAAACTCATGGAAAATATCCAAAAAATGTCATAATATTATCCAACTTGAAATTACAGCGCTCTATAACTTTTTAAAAATATAGTCGAATTAGATCCAAATTAGTATGGAATATTTTTAAGATACACTACTATCGATAAACGTTGACAAACCAAAAATAAATACAGGGTGATTTTTTTTATCATAGGCCACTCAACATCTCACTGGGTTTAATTAATAATTGAATATTTTTTTTCATAGTGTTTTTAAATTATAATGTGATCTCAATTTTTCGCAAATTATTATGTTTCTACCCCCTTTCTAACTAGTTTTTTTGATTGCAACTTTTGAAACTTAAATGATTACGTATATATATATTTTTTAACTTTTTAAATTAAGAATATTTTACTGAAAATGTTGACTGGTTGATAACCAATTTTGCATAATTATTTTTAAAGTTATAACAGTTTAAAAGGTTAAGTTTAAAAGGGGAAGTGCGGTTGGGAAGAGCGGGCAAATAAAAATAATACTACAGATTATACAACAAATTATTAGAGACAGACGATCAACTCTAATCGTATCCAACCTTTTATTAAAAATATAAATTTAAGCATATTATAGCTTTTACAAAATAACTGTGTCGATTTTTGTACTTCCATCTACCATCTACAGATTTGCATCGAAGCGTTTATTTTGAAATGATTTCATTACATTCAGATATTCAATAATAATTCCTGAAGACCTGTGATGTTTCACACCCCGACTTACTCCGTCCCTACTATGCCGCCACCCCACTGTACTGTTTTTTTATTATACAGTAAAAATGTTATTAACATTTTTGTGTCTGAAAAAATATCTTAAAAGGTATTTATGACCTATTCATTTTATATTTTGCTGTCTGCGATGAGTACCAAGCATTCTGATCCGAAATCAATAATTGTTATTTTTTTGTTATATAATATATATTATTTAGTATGTGTGTGTAAAGTATTGACAATGATTTGATTTTGAATGCAATTAACAATGTGACGACCACAAACAATTAACCAAACATAATTTCTACATGAAAAATAGTTAACCTTCCGGCGACGGTCGCGAGGTAGCACTGAAAACGCTGTTATCACGTTGCGTTTTTTTTTTATGATAACAAAAAAGGAGCGCTCGTCGGAAGGTTAATAATGCACGTCAGACAATAACGCCCTCGCAGTCGAAATAGCAATTAATCAACGTCGGGTTTCATCCGACGACTGTCCTTGATAATCATGTACCATACGCCTTCGGGATGAAAAAATAATAATAAAAGGGATCGCGAGCCACATCATCACAGCTGGTTTACTCGTTAGGCCGATGATAACCGTGATATATATATTTTCGAATTTCATCGTCGTGTTTTCGGAATCTCCGACGGAGTGCCGTCAAGTTGGTCAAGGGCGGCAGACGTGTTCTGGTTAACTTTTTTCTTCATAAAAATTCGTTTTAATTTCCATTTCAATTTTCACTAAACACTGGCAATTATTACGTCATCGCTCTCCGAGCACCACGCCGTCGACCCCGAGCAGTGTTATTATTATACATATAGGTAGGCACCTATTATGTATATTAGGTATTTATTATTAGATTATAATACATAGGTATGTGATCATAGCTGTCCAATTTACGTGACAAGTTATTATCAAAATACCAATCAAAAAAGTTATTGAAAATACTAAAAATTGTTAAGCGTTAAGACTATAATAGGTATTATAACCCGTCAGATTATCAGAGGAAAAACAGTTGTAATTTATTAAACAGTTCGGGTACATTAACGACAGTAAATTAATATCATCTTTTTATTACTTCGTTCTCCGTGTTCGAACAGCTGTGGCCAATGATCAAACTGACCAAATAGGTAAAATAGTTGACTTAGGAACGAATTTCATCCAGGCATTGAAACCGGATTCCCTCAATTAAAAAAATAAAGGGGCTTCAGCTCTCAGTCTGCTCTTTAAAGCATGCTAACACATTGTATTGTTATAAAGTCTATTTTTTTTTTAAATCAATCATTGACTATAAGGTAGAAATAGCTTATCGTGGAATTAATGATTTATCGTTAATTAAACACAATTAAAATACTATAATTAACATAAGCATGTAGACATACAATCAAATAAAACGTTTTTAATCGTAAAATAAATGAACCAATACCGTGTTAATAATATCATTGTAAGTGTGCACGTAATTACACAGTACCTACGGAGAAAAGCAACTTCGCGGTAATACCAGCAACTTAAGCATTAGCACTTGGGCGTCTATAAAGATATTAGGCACAGCAGGTATACGACATAATTATATTATTATGGAATAATTTTACAATCATTTTTTAAGCGTCTTTGCTGGTAGGTATATCTTAGTTATTATTTATACTCAAGTGTATAATAGCTGGGTATAAATTGAGTTTAAGAAACACTAGTTGTTCAACGACTCACAGTGTATTATTTAAGTATAGTATTTTCTTATATTTTACGGTTGCGTTTAAATTTATGGAATAAACGTGACCGTGTCTATAAAATAACGATGCATACAATGTTGTATTTACAAACGGAACGGATTTTTCGAAAATATGAACTTATATGAGTTACAAGAAAAAATAATATACTGCCGCGTCAAAATTAAAAAGTACATAAGTAATATTATTGTGCAAACGTAAGGAACGCTGTGCTTACTCGCTCTTAATCAACTACCTCTAACAATTACAATAAATTCAGAGAAATCAAATCACCCGTATGCAATGTTTCTTATTGTTTCTATATTTGTTTATGCGAGTACACATCGTGCTTACACTATGAAGTATGACAGTAATTCGTGTCAAAATATAATACTATTTGTCGTTTCTTTATATTATACATCACCAACATAAAACCACATATTAATTTACTTGAATTATCTTTGTGGTTTCGTTTTGTGTTACTTTCTTGTATACCTGAAAAAACGTACGTGTAAAACGTAAGACAATTTTCAGGGTCAATGATACTTTAAAATTTTGATTTTGTCATTAAGTTTACAACTAGGTGCTAATATTTATTTGTATTAAAACTCACCATTGAGATAATCAAACATATTATATTCTCTCGTGATATCTAATAATCTTGTGCAATCTTGTTCAATTATTCATCAATTATTGATAAAGTGCAAAAAAAAAAGACTCAAATAATTAACATAATCAGCATAGGTCAAGGTAAAGGTATGTTAAGGTTAGGTAGGTTAAGGTTTTGGTAAGCCAATTTAAGGTCCAATCTTATATTAACTTAGTATTCGTTGTGTCTGTTTCAACAAACCTGGGCATTATTTATTTAAATAACAAATGTTAAATATCTTCTTTAAATAAGAAGTTATTTGAAATAAATTTGTATTCCTAAATCAAATAAATCATTTGAAATAATTATTTATTATTTATCATTTCAGATATTTTATTTAAATATATTTTTGTATAGATAATTGTTTATAGGAAAATAAAATCCTATTATTTATTTTAAAGTGTGCATTTTTATAAATTTTTTATTTTAAATAATTATTTAAATTTTCATTTAATAAACAATTATTTAAATAAGGCCTAGGTTTGGGCCATTTAGCTGTGATACGGATGCCATATTTTATATGCCTGTAGACTATCCATTTATAAATTTAATTTTAACTTTAATTAGTTTTACGCATTTATGAATTAATTAATCTATAGAATATGTTACCACGTACAACTTATGTTTATTAATATTGCTTTTTTTTTCGTTTCAGGAAATTCATTTTTCATATTCTCAGCGTTAGTTATATTCTTTGTGGGCAGCATTACGATTGTATATACTCCATTTGATATTTTAATGAATGAGGTAAATGTTTTATTGTTATTTTATTATTAGTAAATATTTATAGTGAAGTGTGAAAATATAATATACTTACACACTATGTAGCCTTCGTTGATATTTTGTAATATCGATGATGCTTAATTTTAGGGTTTTGACTTCAATTTAACAATTCTAAATCTAAAAAATAGATTACTCAATGCGTATATTGATAAATAAATCATACATATATTAAGTTACTACGCAATAATTAATAATTTAATTGTTACTTGTTTTGTCAACTGTCATATCCTAACTTCAAAGTGTTTCGGACAACATATAATTTTCTTTACCTATTAGAGTTCGTAGGTTTTTTTTAATTTCAGCTAAATATAATTATTGTTTATACCCTTTTAATATTATAATGTTATACATTAATTAAATTTCATAATATAATTAAAATATATAAGGACTTTTCTTGTTTTTATCTAAAACCTATGCTACTGATTACTAATAAATTTAATAAGTCAAAATTTTCATTTTCGTTTTTTCTATTGATAATTTTAACTTGTAATACTAATTATTATAAACTATTATTTTATTAGTGAGAGTCTAGAGTGAACCATCCTCAATTTTAATAGATATTAGGAATTTTTAATAGAAATATTTATCGTTAAAGCTGTCTTTGACATGAGCCATTTTATTTGAAGTTTACAGTTTTGTTATACGTATAAATAAGTTATCATACTTATAAGATATTAAATAAAAATCAAACAAATCATTTAGGTCTTTTAAAGTATTTAAAAAAATATCTATACTCTTTATAAAATGTTATTTATAGAGACGGTTTTTTTAAAACATTACGAATGGTCGTTAGTAGTAGCATTGATTATAAATAATATTATTTTTAAAGGTAATATTATTTATAATTAATGATAGTAGTACAGAAATTAACTTTTAATAAATTATGAATCATACATTCATAATTCTCATCAAAATTAAAACCAAATAAAAATGTATTCTTATTGATCAGTTATAACCTATTTTGCCTGTAGTATTCTTAGAACTTTACAATTTTGGTGGCACTACAACAATACTCAACGACGTTTACGGGGTTATTTTTAATGGACTTGAAAAAATTAATGAAAATAAAACAATTACGAATACCTGTTCACTATATATTTCACTTGAGACTTGAGTTCAACTACCAACAAACGAAGACAGTTTATGATACAACTAGTTTTTATACCTAAAATAACGGACTCATAAAAAAAACTTATTTGAAAGTTAACATAAATAATGTGTTCAACATTACTTTACTTGGCCATAAATATTTTGTTTTAAGTTTCAAAAAAATCTGTTAAAAATATTCAAACTATCGAATTATAATAATATATTATATTATGTTCTCGTCACAGTTGGTGTCCCACTCGACGTTTGCTGCATGTACTAAAGTTATAGGTACATATAACCACATAGAAATAAATTCAAAACAGTGTTAAAAAGCTAATCACGATATCATCATGACCGGGGACGTCTAGAAATAAAAATTATAGGCGCGGATGTTACTAGAAATTGTTAGTTTTGACATATCACCCGATTAGGGAACCTGTTTTTACCACGCCATCTACGGGTTCAAGGATACTCAATGTAGGTCTCGTAGTCCATTTGATATCCTCTTCCCGATTAAACCTTGTCAACAACATTTCTACTGCATATCACTAAACTCAAAACTCGAAAGAGTTCTTTTGGCAGACAAAAAAAAAAATTAGCATGGACAAGAAAAACACTTAAAAGAAAATAATCTAAAAAAATGTTGGTTTTTAATAATAATAAAAAATACATAATGTATATTAAATGCAAAGTGCAGTGAATAGATTCTTTATATTAACAGATATGATTTTTAATCGAAACAAAAGCTACCCACTGCATACATTTAATTTAACTTAATTTCATTAATTCAAACGAGGTAATTAAAATGCTGCGTTTAGTCGTCAGATGTCAATTACTGACGTGTGACAATGTTATCTAATTTGACATTGAGATGACAACTATCAAAATACAATGTGTAAATTGTAATTAAGTATTCAATGGTCATTGGAAATAACCGAGTAGACGATGAGTAGGTACGTTCAATGATCCACGATCACTCTAATATTGTAAACATACAATGTAAATTACACCATACACCTACTTGCAAATAGATAAATTTTAACTGTGTAAAACGCACGATATTTCTTAATTTTAAGCAAGATAAAAATATAATTTCATATTCTAAACACAAAATTTAAATAATTTTTCGTGAACATTTCCGTTGGACAATTTGCCAAAAAATATGGTTTTGCCTTGAAAATATAAAACAAAAAATAGAGATGCACAATGTACTAGTGCTATTATAATGTCATGCGCATGCCAATGCATCATTTACACATAATTGTGTTTTTATCCGTACGTTAATAGTATGGTCGAGAAAATCAATATCTTCTTAGTATTTACATTGAAAAGCTGAAATTAAATCTAAAAATATTCGACTCTAAAGAATTAATATTCTTCAACAGGATCAATTATTCAGATATAAAACTTATTTGTAATGGCTATCGTTAAAGAATAGAATCCTTATACAAGTATCTAAATTATAATGGATAATAATCGGTCGTGTTTTTCTTTTATTTCAGAGACTGAAAATGGTGAGGGGTCTACCAGCTTACGAATGGTGGAAAAATCCTCCCGATGAGGTATTGCTCAGAGTTTATTTATTCAACGTGACCAACAGTGAAAGGTTTGAAAGTGGTCTTGATAGCAAACTCGAGTTGAACGAAATCGGTCCAATAGTTTTCAGGTAAGAAAAATGAATTCCAAAATGTACTGAATAGTAAATACTGTACAACTCAATATTCTTCCGTAAACTACAATGCACACTATTTAATACTACGAATTATGGTGTGTAGGCAATAATTTAAGTTGTAATAATCATTTTTTTAAATACCATCACTACTCTAAAATTATTCACTTGCAGTCAGTATACACTAAAGTGATGTATTACACATCATAGTGATCCGTTGTTTAAACCGTCGCGTCGATTAATATAATTATTCACACTTTCATTTTGGACATTTATTGTAATCACTCGCAACCGTGTTTGTTGGAATCTAATAATTATTAAAAAGACATTTTATCGATTTTTTCCCTTAAACTGAAAACATAACACACTTCACGATTATATAGTTCAATTATGCGTTACTTATTCTTGGGCGAAATCTTTACAGAGAACTGTTGCGGCATAGTGACGTGAGATTCAACGACAACGGTACAATGACTTACATGGCCACCAGGACTGCTATGTTTTTGCCTGAAATGACCGATGTCGACTTGAACGCTCACTTAATCCTACCCAATTTTGCAGCGTTGGTACGTATACGGCAGTTATTTACTGCAAGTATTCATTATTAAATAATAATTACCGTTTATTTAATTTTTCAACAGTTTCTCTTTGAAAAAAAGTTCAATTAGTTTAGTATTGATAACAAATAAATTTAATTAATGAAAATTTATTATAAATAATAAATTAAGGAAATACAATTTATTTTCTAGACATGAACTGTAAAAATTAAAAATAAACTTGGTTATCAAGACTTAAATTTGTTTAAAAAAATGTACATTATCAATTTATGTCACGATTTAAAATCAATATACTAAATACGCGACCGCAATATGCTGATGTGTTTTGAGGATACTTTCAACCTGCACTAAATTATATTTTTTCTCATCGAAACATAATTATGTAAATATATATTTTTTTTAATTCAGGGAATGGCTTCGTATTTGTGGGATGCTTCGACTTTCACTAAGTATGGTTTTACTCTTATGATGAAAATGCTGGACACGAAAATGTTCATTAAAACTACTGTGGATGATTGTTTATGGAATTTGACTGATCCGCTAGTCCAAAAAGCAAAAACTATGATGCCCAGCTTAGTTCCCGAAGAAAACATGGGAATATTGCACCAGGTAAACCCATCTGCTAATGCTTCGCGTTATATGCTTACTCTGGAAGCTCCTTAAAATTCACGGACCGACCACCGATAGTCAGTTGTAATTTTGAGCAATGCGTGTGTTGTCGGTTTTAGATCTACAACAAATTTACAGATGAAGTGACCGTGTACATGGGACCGGAAAATGGGCGAAGGTTTTTCACGGTAGACAATTACAACGGAAGACAGAATCTAGGGCTTTGGGACGATGCACATTGCGACAGTGTACAGGGTGCGACGGAAGGCGTTACATACCACCAGTTTATATCGAAGAACGATACGTTAAAGTACTTACGAAAAACCATGTGCCGAGTAACACCTCTTAGATACAAAAGTAAACCTACCACTTGTAAAATTGTGTAATTTTGCATGTCTTTACTGCATTTTCCTTCATTGGCGTATCCTACGTACGTGGGATAGGCGATGGTCAATTTATAAGTATTCTTTTCAACATATCTCCTTCTTTGCATACATCCCCTACATATATCCCCGTATTATGCACTTTAATTTGATTTCATTCGACCGTATTTATTGAAGTTTTCTTCCAACTTTAGATGAGGTGGCCAAATCGGGCATGACCATGTACAAGTTTGTTTTGCCGCACAACGTGTTCTCACACCCGCAAACCGACCCAACCCTAGAAGACTGTTTCAACAACCCTAAATCGTTTCCTTTACTATCAGGTCTGTCGGACGTATCACCTTGCTATTACGGTAAGTCTTAAACTTATTCGAACGATCAATTTACTGTGCTTAACTTATAGTTTAGCACTGTAGCTACGACGCAACAGTAGCAAAAAAAATCTATACAGCTTCACTGAGTATGTATAATATTAATGCATATTTATGAGTATACCTTTTAAGTACAAAAAACTAGGATATTATGTGTGAAATTGGTTTATATTAAATCTCCAAAATTTTAATTAAAAGAACTAAGCGAACTGCATTTAATTGTAAATTGCTGTATAATACGTGATGATTACGTGATGGTCATTCAAACCGATCTCGGGTCAAGGAGACTATATTATTATTATATCCTAAAATAAATAAATTTACAATGAGTTCGATAAAAATCTTTTAAAATAAAAAATATAGTCGATTATGACTGAATAGAATATGTGTTTTCAATATTTGTTGTATGTATATTCGAATTTCTAAATTTAATTTATACCTAATAACTTACGCACTCAGTTGTATTGATTAATGCAATGGTTAAAACGAATAGCTGAGAATATTTGAAATAGTTAAATTCTTATAATTCGTCTTACTTCAAACCTTAAGAAATACTTTCTTCAACTGTACTTACCTAGTTGCAAAAAAATCATGAGCTAACGTTCAATTACCGTCGTCATTTTATATAAACGTCCGTTGCAGTGTGCATTAACGGGAAAGCAATCCTTATTACAATTCAACAAAATATACACACACAATCGTTTGAGGAAATATATTTATGTTTGTGTATTTTTACAGATTTTCCTATAGCCGCTTCTTTCCCTCACTTCCTCAACGGCGACCCAGCGCTTCGGGAAAACCTTTCTGGTCTAAATCCTACCGAAGAAAAACACGGATCATACTTGATCGTCGAGCCCGTAAGCAAAATCACAAGACAATGAACCTAAATGGTTTTAAACTAAACTAATTTATTTGATCCATATGTTTTCAGCTAACGGGGGTACCGTTTGAGAGCAGAGCCAGAAGCCAAAGCAATCTAGTCGTGCGCCCTGTCAATGGGTTCACTAACGTCGACAAATTCAGCAACATGACCATACCTATGTTTTGGGCAGAATATGTGAGTGCAGCGCAACGGCGTGGCTTTAATATGATAACTTTTAATAATAAACAAAATTACGTTTTATACTTACACAAACTAAACTTTAAATTCACCACGTCCTATGAAATAGTATTTTTTGACTTAACTAATTGCATTATTTAAGTAGTAATTTTAGAATATTTTAGCTAACTTGTAAACAATTTTATCAGAAAATTAATTGCGCAGTTTTCGAGAAAACTGTATCAGAGAAATATATTTTCAAAAGAACATTATTAGTAAAGAACTTAAAATAAATAATAGTTAACTAGTATAAACATGTTCGAATACATTAACATATTTTTCTTAAGTCTATGTAAACTAGAAATTACTAAAAGAGTAAATTGAGCATTTTTTCAATGAATATGTATGTAAAATGACCAAACACACACCCTCCGTTTAATTATTTGCAAGTCGACTGTGTGTCATCTCGTCTACTTCATCGTGTGTCTTATTTTCCTCTTATGTCATGTTTCAGAACCAAGTGGGCTTGCCTTGGTATATTACTAGCCTGATGTACTTCACGGTCATCGTTTTGCCGTACACGCAAACCTTTGGAAGTATTACTATGATGGTAATCGGACTCGCTATGGTCGGCAAGTCGATCCTTAACGCGGCGACCGGCTACAAAAAACCATTGTACTCTTATAGTTCTTTAGATCTCTTGCCGTCGATTTAAATATAATTTTTAATGCCCTTATTTTATAAATATTATTGCTAGTTAACTTTGTATTTAACTATTACGTACCTATAATTTGTAAGTTATACAAATGTATTTTATATTATTTTTTAAGTGTTATATATATATACAAATCTAATATATTATTCGTCATATTCATCAATATTTACTCATCAACTGTATTCTAAGATCAAAAATGTATTTATTTAAAGTATGATACAGCGAACTGGAATCATCTTATGATGAACGTTTGTTTGTGTGATTGATACAAATTAAAATTCATTTTAAAAAAATCATTCGTGTTTATTTATTTATTAATTAATTTGTATTGTTTTCTGATAAAAGTACTAAAAAATACTATCTCTAGAGTTTTATCCTTAAAAACAATTTATACTTACCGGAGTATATTCCTTTATTTTATTCCTTTATTCCTAGGAGTGCGACCACAAAGATTCTGATATATTTATGTTACTTATGTTACTTCTGTATCTTGTACTACAGCATTCCGAACTCCTAATAATACAAGTCTTTCTTCACCCTTTGACATCTTGATTACGTGATCTATAATTTTGTAAATCTCTTCTGCATCTTCTTCATTACTATTTGGGGTATGGCATATAAATTTGTACAATTATTATGTCCTAGGTTCTCTTTTGAGGACCTCTTTTGGTATACCTGCTCGAGTTCTAAGTGTTTTCTGGTACCTATGCCTGTAATCTGTATGAATTAACGCACGCTATAAATCTTTAACATATGACCATCTCATTTCCAATCTCCTCAGAATATTGACTTTTATATTCGCCGTTTCTACCCATGAGTTATCCCGCTTTCCACACTGTAACAAAGTTCACGCATTGTATATATTATTTCGGATTTTTAGACATATATTATCTTATTTACTAATAAGTCATTGCAAAATAAACAAAAATATTTCATAGATTTAACGATAGTAAAATATACAATAGTTCTGGCTCATAAATGCACACAGCAATGTCTTAAAGAACTACCTAACAACACGATTTTGTTAATCTTCGGATTCATCTTTCAACATAAAAATTAACATTTTCAAACACTAAAACTACACAAACGACACACAAATCGAATAATGACCATTCAAAAACGGTTACTTACAGCTGTACCGCAATTCGTGAGCAAATTTTACTGCGGGTCGACGATAATTTCAATAGCTCCGTCAATAGTGTTCATGATATATTGCTGGTCGTTGTCCGACACATACATGTCAAATTTAATAAACCCCTGTGGAACTCGACGAATGTCAAAGAGACGTTGGTGGTTAAAGGTATTTAATTTAAGTAGTCAAAATTTGTCTCGACAGGCAATAGCGTAATACAAAAAAGCAGTATAGTATAGTAAAAAAAAGCCTATTTAAAATTGAATGTGTTTCTATGGTCATTCACATGCGTATAGTCCACATACGCATATTCAATATTAACATTTTTGAAGTATAAATCAAACAATGTAACTCTAGAGCTACAATGTACTATGTTTAAAGCACAATACATTTCTGATATACATATTGGTGCCTATACATATGAGTTGACAGGGAACTATATCCCTGGCTTTTCTAATGAATACCTTTATAGAGTTTTTTTGAATGGCGCATAAAGGACTATTACCCTAAGATGGAGGTTTTTTAATCGTTTAGTACTCGGGTGATATGTTCCACCGGTTTTGGTGTTATATTAACAAATAATTTATAACAATATATGTATATGTGTAAATCAATTCCTAACGATAAGGCAATAACGTTTAGAGTGGTTCTTATTCAAACTTTTTTTGGTTTTTGTAGGGATCTGGTAGCACCCTCCCAATTCTAATATTGTTTTTAATTACATTTCGGAAGAATATGAAAAACGTTTTTAATATTTTGATTTTAGACTAATAGTAATCGAGCTGAGTGTAGTTTCAGAAGTTTAAAAATCTGAGGTATTAGAGAAATATAATCTCAAAATTTGAAGCCGATTCGTCCAACGGGGAATTTCCTAAAAAAATCAATATAAGAACCACCTTAATATACATCTCAGTTATCAGGCAATTACATTTTATCAAAAATAATATCCATAAATCAATAATATTCCGATTGTATGCTTTTTGAGCTAAGAAAAAGCCAATTTAATCACAATTGCACCTTAATAGTTTTCGATCAAAATGTTTTATCACAGACATTTCTATCCAGTATATTGTGTTGGAGTGGTTGCGAATGTTGGACAAACGGATTTTTACGGGGCCTTAATACTTACACTTTACCGACGTTAATGATGGTGAGCATTTGTCTTAGATATACAGTTTCTATAAAAAGTAATGTTATTGTTCTTTAAAGAAATAAAAAAGTATCTTTAATTTTTATTTGAAGGGCATTGCTTAACTCATAATTTTCTTTTAAAATAAGGTTAACAACTGTTTAAACGATGGTTACAATATGGACGAAAAAACTATCCAACTTATGGAAGTTCCATGCAAAATATTGGCTTCTTGTTTCGTAGTGATAATGATGCACTTTTGGTACGATAATACTTTAAGAAAATATGAAGAAGAAATTATAAGGATCCGCAACGCCCGAATCATGAGGGCCAACAACTGGTAAGTACCTATATTTTTGAATAGCCCTAAATTTTACTTTTACCCACGAAATTTTTAAATTTCTTAGCGAATTTTCGTTTTGGACCTAGTTGTTGGATATTCTTTAAAAAAGCCCAATCCAAAGTTAAAATTTTCGCATATATTTCGGACTCCAAAGCGGTGGAGAATTATTTTTATTACCATAATTTAAAATAATTTCGATTAAATCAGAATAGAATATGTTATTTTCTAGGCACAGAGTTATGCCTAGAAGACCTCAAAATGAATTAGGTGACACTGGTTACTTATTATTGCGGAACACGTCTAGGGCTATGCACCGGTCATTGCCTATAACCCTAGACGATACGACGACTCGACTGAAACAAACACAGAGTAGTCCGTGGCCAGCCGAAAAAAATCAAATAAAGATTAAAGTACCTACGAGAAGTAAATCCATATGAAAATTTCAAATGTATGATTTCTTATTAAAATACTATACACGCTGTGTATACAAACAAAATTATAACTGGGAATACTTAATTTAATTCATGTTAAGTTTCCTCGAAACATTTTTTGGTGTGAATAATTATTATATTTTATGGTTATAAAATAAAATAATAAAAATAGTCGGGTGCATGTTATAACAGCTGTACATATTATACAAATTAAATAGCTATTTAATAAGAAAAAACAATTTTCCACAAAAATTGTATGGAATTGGATAATATATTAAGTATTATTTAATAAAACAAAATTGCAGTATTTAGAAAACTGTAAATTTAATAATAATAATATGGAAAGTTAAGAAATAAAATAAATTCAATAACTTGCATGTTCAACTTAACAATGAATTAAAATACAACTATTAAATTGCAAATAAATAGTAATTATTGCTTAGAGTTGGATTATGTATGTATAATTAGAAATTATTGTTTTTTTTTTTAATTGATGGTTCGTTTATTAATATAATTAAGACTAAAATCTTTATAATTTATAAAAAACAAAGTAAATTGTATTACCCTTACACAATTTAATACTCACCCTCAATAATGATTATTTTCATATTATATAGGAATAGATGCACAGGAATTGTCGTGCAGCATTAATGGTAGGTGTATCATACAGCAAAAGAGATTTAGTTCTCAAGGTTTTTGACATTGTTCATTGTTCTTCATTGTTTTTGGCGGTGACATATAAGCATATATGTTTTAATATACATTTATCATTTCTGATGTCTCTATAAACTTAAAATTACTATAATAACAAAAACAAACATAATTAATAAAATAACTACTCAAATCGTATTATTATTTTTTGGGTATTAAATTCAATCTAATTAATAGTTGAACAATATAAAATTACTATACGGACAATGGAGTTGTTTTTGAAATACTCCTTGTTTGATGGTTAAGATTATAGTTTATACTACTCCGTGGTTAGGTGATAAGTATTTTCCCCTTTGAACTGTAAATATTGAAGCTCCCTACTGAGATACCAGTTATAAATTATAATACATATACTAATTTATACATTTTCTCACGCCAAATTAAAACACAACAGATAATTAATAATGAAAATGATTTTCACTAAGAATACCTAAGATTTTATGCTATTAAATGTTTACACTAAGCACTAAGGGATATTTAAGGGGGTCTTGGGATACTAAAACTTTAAATTAATACTTTTTCATAACACCTATATCTTTATTTTTTAGCGAGAGATTTGTTGAAATAAAAGTAAATGTAGGTTGAACAGCATTAATTTTAAGTTTATAATAAGTATCTCAAGTCCCTCCTAAATATCCGCTAATGTAACTAAGAAAATCAAATACTTAAATACGAGCTTACTTAGATACGTATTAAAGACGAGCTTGTGTATAACTAGGCAGTGTACCAATAATCATTTTAAATATTAATATAATAGATAAGTAGGTTGTTAACGAGATAAACTTTGTTTTTTAGTTAAAATTGCACATTTACATGGGTTAAATTTACATCGTCAACTGTAAATATTTATGCCACCGAGAAAATAGCATGAGATTATAACATTACAGTATAATAATTTAATTTAAATTATAATAATCTATAGAAGAAGAATGTCTAACTAATTTTTATTTAATTCAGTTAAACTCTGTGTGGTTTGATTGTACTGCAGTATTGTGTGACGACTGACGTAGAAAATGTCAACAACGCGCCTAAAGTTTTCTACATTTATTGTAGAAATGTATATATATATATTTTTTTTTACTTATTAAATTATTAGTATAACAGATTAATTTGTATTCTGTTTTTGAGCATAGAAACATACAATCATTACTTGTTGAGTCCATTTTTACATTTTAAAGGAACTTCTGTATTTCTACCTGTATCCTAAGGGAGTTAGTACATTCCTATTTTAGGCTTTTGGAGTCTTGGTGCTATTTTAAAAGTGATATAATATTTTTAAATATGATATTATTAACATAACATAAAAAAAACGCTGTGGATGGAAACTATGTGTATGAAAATCTGGCCACTTGAAGCATCAACTCCATCGAATAGGTTACTAAAAAAAATAATTAAATGTATCCAAATAGTAAGTTTAAAAAAATATTATATTGTATTTAACGTATAGTAGTTTGAAATT